ACCTGGATCGGGATCCAACCGCGAGATCGGATCGGATCGGCAGCGGACCCGGACATGCTCGCGTCGTAGAAACATCACGACGGTAAATGCTGGGCAACTTTCGGCCTCTGAGAGCCCTGGCCAGGCCTCAGGGCCACCCAAAACGACCTCGGGATGACAAGCCGGCCTGGGGGAAAGGGTCTGGATTTTGCCTGACCGCGCATCGAGAACAAACAATACGTCGCATGTCTGGGATCGGACCGGCAGCGGGTCGGGTCGGCAGCGAATCGTCCCGAAAAAATCGGATCGGCGCGCTTGGCGTCGGCTGGCCCGGGGCGATGCTGGTGAATTGACCCGCATCGAATCGGATTCGCGGCCGGCGAACCGGACCGGATCGCAGTCGACCCTGTCCCCAACCTTGAAGGATCGAGGCTCGAGGATCAGAGGGATCGGAGAAGCGCGTTCGGGGTTCGAAGTCTGTGGTGACTACCTACCAAACCACCCCAACCCCACCCGAAGACCCGAACTTCGCCCGACTTTCGGGTTGGGGGGGTAGGGGCTTCATATGTGTTTTTTATGTTCCCCGACCTCCCCTCCTGGAAATGGAGGGCAAATCGGGATATCGGGTTGGGTTAGGGTGGTTTGGTAAGCAGAAGTGTGGCCGTTCATGGCCCTTTCTGGGGCCTCCAGAAGAGGATCCTTCGCGCCCCTGGGCCTCCAGGTGGCCCCTGGGGAGCGCTGGGGGAGGAAGGGAGGACGACCAGGACAAGGAGGAGAGGAAGAACAGAAGCAGACGGAGGAGGAAGAGGAGGAGGGATCCAGGAGGAGAAGGAGGAGGAGAGAGACAATAATGCAATCAAATGCAATGGAATGGGATGGACTGAGATGGAATAAAACTGAGTAGGATAGAGTGGCATGCCCATACGGGGGAGCGCACATAACTAAATAATCCCAGTTCACACTGAGGCGCAAATCATGCATTGGGAGGCGTAGCAGAAAAAAGGGTCTCTGGAATACCGCAAAACTACCTCGTGAACGGAGAATTCCGAATGACCTCCTCCACTCGAACTCGCTCCTCCAACGCGCACATTCTCCGCCCATGGGAAGGGGCCGCCCCGGAAGCCGAAAAACTCGCCCTCACAACCGTGGGGGGCTGAGGTCCCTAGGGGCTCGGGCAGGTCCTGGCGCAGCCAGGCTCAAGGGACAGCCTTATCCAGCAGAGCCTGCGCCCGTCGACCGGGACACCTGCCCTGACGAACCATTCCAAGGACCTCCTTGCCGTTACAGTGAAGGCTGGTCCACAAGAAACCTTCCACAGTACAGTCGAAACGCTGTCATAAGGAACCCTGAAGAAGGAACGAGGTTGCTTTTTCCATAAGGTAAACTTCGATTTCCCATGGGCAACCGAAGGATAACCTAAGACAAACTGTACAACAATCAAAGATCACTGGGCCCCTCCCCAACGAAACGGGTTCCTTCTTCAGCGGCCCGACTGTAAACCCAACCCTAAGACGCCAGGACGTCCACTGATTTTTCGCGGGGGAACGTCGCGACGTCCACAGCAAAACCATCGACACCCAAGAAACCCAGGGCACCCTGGAGGCAAGCAGGGTGTTTCTTGGCATGGGCCTCCACTGTACGCGTGGGGGCCTCGCACGAGCGGCCAAGCTTCTCAGAACGAGACTGCGACCACATTCGGCATCTGAGACAAACGACGGTCTGCTCTCAAACGTCACACCGAGGGGTCACGGCAACTTCCTCGAGTCGGGCCCGCCACGGCGACGATGGAATGACCAAGAAAGAAGCTCGGGACTCATGAACAACCGTCGAGAGGCATCGAGTCAAGCGATCCTTCCGCCACCACCAGGCACCTGATGCACTGGAGGTCCAGTTTTCCTTGCGTCCACGAGTACCAGCTGTGTTGCCGCCTTGAGCGGCCAGCTCGGAAACGAATGGGCCTCTCCCGCCCTACCGCAAATGCGAAGAGTGGCAACCCATGTATAAGGCTCTGAGCCTTGGTGGCGGCGAGATTCACTTCATGAAGCAACGCTGGATCCGCAGCAGGGTGCGTAGACAGAGAAGCCTCTGCCTATCGGTCAACTGATGCGTTGGCCGTGGCAAACAAACGATCGGTGCCTTCTAGCTGCCAGATGAATATATTTCAGATCGGTGCACTTTGATGTGACACACTGACCGAACGAAGGGGGGGCCCTCGAGACACTGGGCAAAAAGCCAGATGCCCGCGAACCTGTTCAAAACAGCGAGCTGCCGTGCAATATGCTGCTGGGCAACTCTGATGGCGGCCTTGCAGTCGGAAGCTAGCTCGGCTGACCTGCTCGCTACTTGGCCACAAACTTCGATCCCTATGTGTTTGGCCAGGGGTGTAGTCTGTGGTAGGGTCCCTGGGACAACACCTCGAATGAAAACATCTGGGTCATCTCTTTCTTCTGGGCACACGCCGATGGGCCAGGCCGCCCTCTCAAGCGGCCTGAAGTGAGGCTTGCTGCCAGACCCGTCCACAGCCAGCAGAAGAGGGTAGCTGCTGGTCAAACTAACACTCTGCTCAGGGTCTAGATCGATAAGGCTTTCATCCATGTCCAGTATGCCAACCTCGGTGGAAGCCGACGGCGTTGTCAACTCAGAGTCCTGGTGAACGAAAGTCCCCCATGGCAAAAACCATGGTTTCAAGCTCGCGGTGCGCGGCCTGCAACAAACTGATGTGCTATTTCGGCGGCATCCCTAGCCTCTGCTATTTGCGTGAGCTGGCAACTGTGTAGCCTGATGGATTGTGTACCGTTCGCCACTCATAAACACACCGTCACAAGTAACCCCCCTAGGCAACAGCAGCTCTTGGTGAGGTACTTGTGGAAACGATTAAACCTCTAGCCGTTCGGAACGGCAGACTTCCTGAGAAGGTCAAGTGATGCCCTGGAGCCTGGGGGGGGCAAGTCTCGAGGTTAGGATAGGCTCGCGCCGGCGTTGAACACCTAGCTCCGTCTGGTACAGTAGTAGTGACAGCGGGGTTTGCGTCACATCATGTTCGAGACCGCTGTGGTCTACCCATGTAAGGGGCCCGTTGAAACTCCAGCTCGCGCGGACCGTGCACAAAAGAACACGAGAAATGAACCCATGGTATGGTTCCACGGCTTGCGACTCTCAGGCTTGCAAAGATTCTAGAGACGCACTAGCTCTCCTGACTGGATGAGGGCATTCTCGCAGCGGGTGGCAGCGGCCAAAGCCATTCTGCACCATTGGATGGCTGGTGCCAGCGCTAGCCTCGTGCTGCTGTCACCGTTCAAAATAAGCTTGGCTGAAAGAGACACCCCACCATGTGCGGGTGAGTCTGCACTGGACATGAGACGCTGGATGTGTAGCTATTCGGAAGTACTGAGCCCCACGACTTCGACCCCGAAAGAACTGGCTGGGGCCACCCCTTGGCGAAGCACCTGTTGGAAAAAGATCTCCTCGGGGCTCTTAAAACACAGATTCATGGCTCTAGTTACGTTGTCTCATGGCTCTCTTTACGGATTCATTTCCCTCAGGGTCGCGAGTCTGGGTTGCTGCTTCACTCTGGCTTCATCCGGCAGCGTCATCCACTGACCTTGACACTGCGGTTGAGCTCCAGCCGATCACACTCTATCGCGAGACCCTGCGACGTCGCGATGATGGCTAGCTGATCCTCGTTGACGGCAGCGTTGATGGCCTTGCTTGCCTCGAAGAAATGCCTGATACCCTCCACTGCAATACCATTCGCTATCTCATAGTCCGATGACGGGTTGTGGAGGCCAGTGTCATCGATGCAGCTGTGAACGTCAGGCATATGAGCCCTCGACATGAGCACGTCGAATGCGTCCACAGCGTTTGCCTTGACTGCAAGGTCAGCATACGCATCACCTGCTGGTAATCCGAGTCGAAGTAACAAGCAGTGTACAGCACGGTGTCTGCCAAGGCGTATGATGCGTGGACAAATGTATTAAATACTCGCACCGAGCAGCGAACAAGAGCACCGTGTCGAAGTAGCTTGATTCGTGGAACATCGAGTGGTGTCGTCTCGTACTCTTACCTTGCCACGCTTACATCGAAACAAACGAGATGGAAGCATTCAGTGGCCAGAGAGAGAGGTCTGAAGAGGAATCACAGAGGAACCGCAGAGGAACCCGAGATGGACCAAAGAGCAAGCAGAGCCAAAGGGTCCCAAAGACAGACCAGAGAGTGACCAGAGAGGGGCCTGCATTCTAAACGTGGCCACAGGAACGACGGCTTAGAGCACGAACTCCTCCGATGCAGGCCCAAGGCCTCATGGACATACTCCAAAGGAAGATCATTCCAAGGTGAAGAGCCTAGAGGGAACTGACAACGCATAGGCAGAAACTTCTGGAGGCACGCGCGGATATGTGTTGGGATCTTAATGTTGCATCCTCGGGGAACCTTGTCTGTCCTGTCGCTGTCCTATCCGCGTCGAATCCGTGTCGGACTCGTCGGATCCGTGTCGAATCCGTGTCGAATCCGCGTCGAATCCATGCCAAGTCCGCGTCGAGTCCGCATCAAGCATGCGTCGGACAAAAGAAAAGACACCAATTTTGGGGACAGGCGAGGTCCCCCGAAGATGCAACGTAAGGATCTTGCGCGCGGAGCGCGCCAGGGGAGGCGCTGGAGGCGCCGCCGGGGGGGGGGGGGGCCCTGGCGACGACCAAAAAAAATGTCGCGAAGCTCCGGAAGTTGGTGCTCATGCTGCTGTTTCTTCCTCGAGGGCCCAAGCACGAAGAGCATCCGGGTACCGTCGGGGCGTTGACCTAAGGAACCCTAAATAAGGAACGAGGCCCCTATTTTCCATGAGTTAACCTTCGATTTCCTGTCGGGAACCTAAGGGAAAACCTAAGGCAAGCTGCGAAACAATCAAGGAACACGGAGCCCCTCCCCAACGAAAAGGGTTCCTTCTTCAGGGCCCCGACTGTACCCCATCAGATCTGGGGCTGCTCCTGATACTCGCGCCAGCTGCACTAGGGTTGGCCAGCCCTGGCTTAGCCCCCCCCCCGGATGTTGTAGCTGTCGCTGACGACTGCGACCAGGCCGTCGTTAAACTTCGTCAGCATGTTGCGGAAGGCTTCCACCTCACCCTCCAGCTTGATTAAGGGAACGAGCAATGACACAAACATAAAATCTTCAAGGTCCGTGCGGATTTCTCGGATCGGCGCTGGGAACCCCCTGGCGGCGCCTCCGGTGCGCTCCGCGCGCCAGGGAGGGGAAACCCGAGAAATCCGCGCGGACCTCAGAGTTTTCATGCTTGTGTCACTGCTTGTTTCCCGATTGCATGCTCTCGGGAGATTGGGGCGGGAAGCAGGCTGCGCGGGGCACGAGGGGCAGGGCTGCGCACGAGAGAGGCAGAGACACCAGAGCTGGAACTTGAAGCCGCAATGACAGGACCAGGTGAACGGGCGAAGAACGGTATAACATAAACTTTCCAGCCGCCCAGGGGCAGGTGTCCCCGACGGCGGAACGTTTATCTTATACCGTTCTTCGCTCGCTGACAGGCAGAGCGCAGCTATCAGAGCTGGACCGGACCCAATCGCGAGGCAAGACCGGGTCCGAAACGGATCGGCTCGCCAACGCATCGTCCCGAATCGAGTCGACGTCGGATCGCCGCGCCCAGCTCCGGCTGGCCCTGGCCGCTGCCAGTGGATCGAACCAAATCGAATGCAATCGGGCTCGCAGGTCCAAGCCGCCAATCGAGTCGCATCGAATCAGGGCGTAGGCGGCCCTGACAGGTCGAGCCCCCCCCCCCCCCCCCGGAAGCGAACGGCCCCTGCGCCAGATGCCAGCCTGGCCGAACTCGGGGCACGCACGCATGCCTGCAGCCTGCCCTCCTTCCCCCCTCTGCCTCCTCCTCCTCCTCCTCCTCCTAATCCTCCTCCTCCTCCTCCTCCTCCTCCTCCTCCTCCTCCTCACCCTCCTCCTTATTGTCATTTTGGTTCCGCCTCCCCTCCTCCTCCCCTTCCTCCTCCTCCTCCTCTTCCTCCTCCTCCTCCTCCTCCTCCTCCTCTTCCTCCTCCTCCTCTTCCTCCTCCTCCTCCTCCTCCTCCTCTGCCACGCCGCTCTCTTTTTATGATCGATGGCGTCAGAGATGGCCCCACGAGGGCCTCCATAGCGTCTAAGAGGCCCTAAGAGGTTCCCAAGAGTGCACCAAATTGGCAACAAGAGAGGACCACGGGGGACCAAGAAGTATCCAAAGTGGCCCCACGTGGCCTCCCAGCTGCTCCCGAGGCGAACGATCTACGAAGACCTTGAGGGCTACTCACGTCGTCGTCGCCGCCTTCTTCCTTCTCGTCCTTCCAGACACCATCGAAGACTGATGCGGTGCACTGCTGGGCCGCATGCTGCTAGACATCCCTAATCAGGGAAGCGCGACTGGCGTCTGTTGTTGCATGAGCTGGTGGGGATACGTGAAGCGTCAAGAATTGGAGAGCAACTCACGGAAGCTGCTGGTCGTCCCCATGACGCCCAATAGCGCGCCCACTCGCGCGAAGAGCGGACATCATGCGCATCCCCCTCACTATTGGCCGCCATTGGTCGCTACTGGGCGCTATTTGAGTGCTATTCCAGGGCGCTATCAAGCGCGACTGGGTGCATCCTCCTCACATGGCGCTAGTTCGGCGGTGGACAACCTTTAGCAAACCTCCCATTAGTGAAAACGGCCTGGGACCGGAACCGACGGACCTGGACCCGCATAAATGACGGCCGTGACGCCCTCTCGCGAACCGAAGCGGCCAATTCGCTAATCGACGTGTCAGGGTAGGAGGTCTATCAACCTTCGACTATTGGGCGCTACTCGGCGCTATTGGGTGCTACTGGGTACCAACGGGCGCTATCGGACGCTAGGAAACGCCATGGTGGGCGCTGTGCGCCGATGCACATGCAGTGCAAGACGCACGGAGACTTCCGTGACTTGCTACCTGAAGAACCCACTGTCAGGTCGGGCATGTCCCCCTACAGGCGGATTTTGGTTGACAAAATAAATAGATGCCAACAACAATACCAACCAGAATCAAAACATAATAGAAAACCGTTCCCAGACTATTGTTTGGCGATGTGGGAAGATTCCCCCTGCAGCGGGACAGGCCCGACCCAGACCCACCGGCACGGGGCAGGCCTGGTCGCTGCTGGCGCAAGCAAAGTGGCCAGCAACAAGAGGACCCTTCACCCGCTGGACGGGGACCGGGGCAAAAACAGCAGGGGCAGAGGCCTTGGAACCAAAACTAGCGGACACTCAGGCCACATTCATCAGTCGACGCCAGGGCTGAACCTAAACGGTACTCTCCCAGAACCGACCTCGATCTTATACTTTGGTCCGACTGAAGCCGTCCGATTGCACGAATCATTCGATGTCGGCCGATGCTGGACCACCGGCGACAATCAAGGTTGAACCCCCACGCCAGGGAATCTGCAAAAACATGATCCTCGATACCCCACCTCCTTCTCCCCAAACATCTGGCGGCCTGATCTGTTCTGAACATGCCCCCGCCAGCAGACACCTCAACCTCCAGGGCTAACTTCTCATCCAGAACCAATGTTCGACGGTCCCGGGGCCGAAAATCATCCTGCAAAAATGTCAAGTTTGGAAAAGTTAGGGGCCGATGCGCACATATCTCCAACTCATACAAAACACGATTAAAAAAGGCGGGTTCTATAGGCTCGAGCAGTCAAACATCTACATCCTTGCCCGAGCCCCTCCTCCTTGTCCTTGCCCCAGCTCGTGATCGTGGAGTGCTCCGCAGCAGCAATGGAGAAGCCTGCCATATCCGCCCCGTAGTACGCCTTCGCCACGTTCACGCCCTGCGGTCCCGCCCCAGAGAGGGGAAGAGGTTCCCTCGATTCTCTTGCACAGCTGTGATTTGTCGAGCTAGGAGACCTTTGATTTGGTGGCCCGTTGGTTGCTTGGCTTGTATATGAATACGTGTATGTAGAGAGAGAGAGAGAGAGAGAGAAAGAGAAAGAGAAAGAGACAACAACAAAAGAAACTGATAACAAGAAAAGAAAGAAAACGGCATAACACTAACTTTCCACGGTCCGCGCAGACTTCTTAGATCTGCTCTGGACCCCCCCCGATGCCCCTGGTGGCGCCTCCGGCGCCGCCCCTGGCGCGCTCCGCGCGCGGACTCAGACCCGAGGCTGGCCGCTGCAGAAGTGTCGCCGCTGAGAGCTGCCACAAGGCTTCAAGGGGCCCGCCCGCCCGCCGCATCGTTTGGCGACGCGCCAAAGAGGGGAAGGCAGAAGAGTGAGCATCGTTTAACCGAGCCCCATCCCCAGCGGCGTGGCCTGGGCCCCACTGGTCGACCTACCCCCCTAGATGGGAATGTAGGCCGTTCCCTTCGGGTTTCGAGGGGTGCGTCCCCAACTGGGGTGGTAACTTGGTGGGGTCTCGAAGGAGGTGAGGATGGGGATGGAGGTCGGTTAAACGATACTGAAAGAGGCGGGCCTTCCGAAAGGCTCAGGGCGCCTCCGGCCTTCTGAGAATCTCTCTCTCGGAGCCTGCTCCGAGAACGCAGACGGCTTCCGAGGCCGGAGAGCTTCTCTGAAGGGGCCCTGGGACACACAACTAAATACACACAAATAAAAGGAGTCCCTATATTTTCCTATATTTTCTGGGTTTCTGTCTTCCCCCCACTGCCCATATTTTCCTATATTTTCGGGGAAATCGACGATTACTTGTGTCTTTGTGTTTTTTCTCCTGCTGATTCTCACAAACCCCGCCGTTTTCCGAGACGGCCCGCCTCCTCTCACCTCCCCCCCCTCAGCTCGCCGCCGCACAATGAGCCGACTCTATGCCACGAAAATCTATACTCTGTCCCTCACTACAGTCGGGGCGTTGACCTAAGGAACCCTAAATAAGGAACGAGACCCCATTTGTCCATAAGTTAAACTTCGATTTGCTATCGAAAACATAGGGAATACCTGAGGCCAGCTGCAAAACACTTAAGGAACGCGGAGCCCCTCCCCAACGAAAAGGGTTTCTTCTTCAGGGCCCCGACTGTAGTTCTGGGCCCCGGGACTACAGGTACCCCCCGGGCTACAAATATCCTCTCCCCGAACCAGGGGGGGGGCCGCAGCAGCCAGGCTCGCGGCCGGCACACACGAGGCGGGGGTCTATCCATACCCACCGCCCGAGAGCCGCTCGATGTCCTGGGACCTCAGGGGGCAGTGGACATGGATACACTCGGACTTGATTGGACAGGACACGCGGGAAGACACAGGACACTTCGGAGGGCCACCTTGCCGTAGGAGTGCGGGAGGCATGGGTCGCGAGGCACAGGGCACAAGGGTACCCTTGACCTGGCAGGGTCGACCTACTAATCAGGGCAGACTGTGCATGTTGGCCCCTGGGGGCCCGAACGGATCCGCATCCGCCGCCTGCCGAGGTCCCCAAAGATCGATATCCCAGGCGTGATCCTGGATAACTGGATAACGGAGGACGTGTGCCACGAGCTACACCTGCTGGTGGGATCACGCGGATTGACCAGAAGGCGGACCCTCGGAAATGCCAGAAACTACCGCCTCCAAAAGAGAGACATACGGGCGGCCACTGGTACGCCGACGCAACAAGCTCTGTACGGCCATTGCATTTCACCGCCGTCCTCCTGCCACTGACGAGGGAGGACGTGCGGGAAGGACCGCCTCAGGGAGAGAAACATGGAGCCCGAATCGGCGGTGCATTGCCGATAGATCGGCCACAGGCTCTCGACGTCGAATTTGCACGCTCCTGGGCGTGGTGGGCCGTCGAGCCCCTACTTCTCGGCAATCGAGGGGCCATTGGGGGGGTCGACGCATCCCCCCTGAACTCATCTTCCCCTAATGCTGCTCCTGACGATCATGATGTATTACGTGTTATGTCCCTTTGCACCGGCATGCCCTCCATTTGTTCCACTCCTCGAACAGGAAAGAAAGTATGCACCACGATGAGTCCTGGACATGCCAATCTAGTAACCAAATCTACGTCTGTATGCATTATGCATACACATCTATGTATATATACACATATTTATATATATGTATTTGTGTGTACACTACTCCGTCACGATAATGTGCGAAATCGTGATGCTTCAAAAGAACGTTGAGATGGTAATGGCTTCGTCCACTACTTCCGCGTGAAAGAGCGGGCGGAGGCTGACCCCTGTTCCGACCGCGCCGAGCTGACCACTCCTCCTCCCTGGAATCCCAACAAGCGGAATCTAAAACAATCGGATCAAGATCCGGGATGCCTGAGTCCAGGATCTCATCCGATTAGGTGATTCTACATGATTAAGACGGGCATCTTCAGACCCCAACGTCAATGATCCTGGCGAAGGCCCCAACCATGTGCAGTTGTGGGTATCGCCTTCGGTGGATCTATGAGTGGGACCACGAAGCGTGTAAAGGGTGTGCCGACATGGGGCGGGGACCCCTGCGGGCGCAACCATTGGGACCTTCGGTGGCGCTCCATATGGGGCCACGAAGCGTGTGAGCGGTGTGCCGAAATTGAGTGGGGCCGCCATGCGAACGTCGCCACTGGGGCCTTCGGTGGAGCTCCCCATGGGGTCACGAAGCGCTGTACGGAGTGGGGCGGACGCATGCGAACACCGCCGCTGGGGCCTTCGGTGGAGCCCCCTTATGGGGCCACGAAGCGTTGTACTGGGTGGGGCATGTGCATGCGAACACCGCCGCTGAGGCCTTCGGAGGGGCTCCTGGTGGGGCCACGGAACGATGTAGTGGGTGGAGGAGGCGAATGCGAAAGCCTCCATTGGAGCCTTCGGTGGAGCCCCCCATGGGACCACGAAGCGCTCTACCGGGTGGGGGAAACACATGCGGACACCGCCTCTGGGGCCTTCGGTGCAGCTCCCTATGGGGCCACGAAGCCTTGTACTGGGTGGGGGAAACGCATGCGGACACCGCCACTGTGGCCTTCAGTGGAACTCCCCATGTGGCCATGAGACGTTGTACTGGATGGAGAAACGCATGCTGACACCGCTACTGGGGCCTTCGGGGGAGCTCCCTATGGGGCCACGAAACGCTGTACTGGGTGGGGGGAACGCATGCGGGCACCGCCACTGGTGCATTCGGTGGAGCTCCTTATGGGGCCACAGAACGCTGTGATTGGTGGGGGAAACGCATGGGGACACCGCAACTAGGGCCATCGGTGGAGCCCCCTCTATGAGGCCACTAAACCTTTTACTGGGTGGGGGAAACGCATGCGAACCATGCAAGTGGGGCCTTCGGTGGAGCTCCCCATGGCGCCACGAAACGTGTGAGGGGTGTGCCAAAGTGGACAGGAGGCGGCATGTGAACACAGCCACTGGGGCCTTGGGTGGAGCTCCCTATGGGGCCACGATGCGTGTGAGAGGTGGGCCAAAGTGGACAGGAGGCGGCATGTGAACGCAGCCACTGGAGACTTGGGTGGAGCTCCCTATGGGGCCACGATGCGTGTGATGGGTGGGCCAAAATGGACAGGAGGCGGCATGTGAACACAGCCACTGGAGCCTTGGGTGGAACTCCCGATGGGGCCACGATACGTGTGAGGGGTTGGCCAAAGTGGGAGGCGGAATGTGAATGCAGGCATTGGAACCTTGGGTGGAGCTCCCTGTGGAGTCACGAAACGTGTGACGGGTGTGCCAAAATGGGAGGGGGTGACGGGAGGAGGGAGGAGTGGGCGGAGGGGAAGAGGAGAGGAGAGGAGGACGCGGGGCACCCCCTCTTCAAAACGAGGACCCAACACCGGATGATGTTTGGGTAACACTGTTCTAGACTTATGTTGCTCCCATCGTACTCAAGGACTACATCCCAGAAATAATTTCGAGCACCTGGAAAAGTGCCGAAAGAGTATCAAAAGAATGTCGAAACAGTGTCGGACGAGTGTCTCCCAGGGACCGGCACGTGAAAACCCTCGGGTTCGTGGGCACGTTTCTGGTGCTCGAAATTCCGTCTGGTGATCAAGGCGAACGTAGGTCGGAGGAACATCCTAATTCCAGACATCCCATCGGACGGGCTGCTGCCCCTGCCAACGATGCAAGAGGGTGACGCACCACTTCGCCACGAGGCTTGCGGAACGCCCATGTGCATCGTGCGTAATTATCTGTGTCATCCTGCGGGCCTGCGGGACCGCCTGGCGGCGCGCCCCAGCGCGCCCCGACCGATGTTCGCCGCGCGGCCGTGCTTCGGGTCGGGCGAAAGGGGGGGATAGCAAAAGGGGGTGTTTGAGAATCAGCTCACGTAGCCGATTCTCCCGGCGCCTCCCGGCGCCGGAGGCGGCTATGTATCGAGGAATGGGCCCCTCGGGGGGGCCGAAACCAGCTGCATGCGGCACATTTTGTAACCCGCCCTTTCCCAATCCCCCCCTTTCGTCCGGCCCGAATGCTGCTGCGCTGGGCGGGGCGGCGGCCGGGCTGAGCGCCGCTGGCCGCTGCTGCCGCCGCCCGCTGGCCGGTCCCCCTCGCCGCGATCGCCCTCCTCGTCGCCGTCGGTCGTCTCTCCGCCTTGCCGACGGGGTAAAAATAACACATCGGGGATGGTAACCCATGAACGCGATGGTAAAATAAACACGGGCCCCTTCGCGATGGCAAAAATAAACATGGGCCCCTTCGCGATGGTAAAAATAAAACATCGGGGATCTACTGACCCGGGTCAACCCAGACCCGGGTCAGTCCAACTTTACAATATCCTGCAGTACCCTGCAGGATCCTGCACCCAAGCCCGGGTCAATACACCCCTGGCTCTGCAGCATCCTGCGAGATCTGGCGCTCTGACTGACCCCCGTTTGCATCGAGCCCCAGCTCAAGGCTCCCAAACAGAGTGTTTATACGTCTCCCCGGCCAAGCCGAGAGAGGCGACGCTGACCGACACGTGGTCCTGCATGGGCTTGCGCCAAACTGGCAACGCGTGCTCTCCCTGTCCTCCCTCCCCGCCCGCTCATGCTCCCTCCGCCCCCCTTTGTTAACGAGGGACATCCAGGAAGCCTCGCCCTGGAAACCTGAAATCGGCGGCGAGCCAGGGGGGGAAGTGAGAAGGAGGAGGCCGTCTCAGAAGGCGGCGGGGCTTTTCAGAAGGCATGATGCCTTCTCAAAAGTTTTCTGCGTCGTCGGGGAAGGTTCAGAACACTTCTCAGAAGGCCAAAAAGGATTTCCGAACCTTCTGAGAAGGACCACCCCTTCTCGCTTGCCCCCGGGCTCGCCGCCGATGAGACCTCATGTGCGTCGGATCCACGTCGGCCTTACGTCGGGCTCACGTCGGACTGAGTCGGATTCACGTCGGACCCACGTCGGATTCATGTCGAACTTCCGTCGAACATCGCCGCGCGAACGTCGTCGGAGGATCGCGCCGCATCGCCGATACATCGGCGATGCATCGCCGATGCATCGGCCATGCACTTGCGACGTCGGCGATGCATCGGCGACGACGGCGTGGAGAAATTGGGACCCAGATCGAGCCGCATCGCCGATGCATCGGCGATGCGGCGCGATCCTCCGACCCCATCTACTCCGACCCCATCTAGGAGGCCTGGAGACACGGTGGGCCCAACCACGTGGCCTCCATGCGACCTCGAAACGATCCGAAGAATACCGCATGACTCCATGTGTACGTCCATGATTATCCAATCAGTGCTTGCACTGACAGGGGTCCCAGCGGAAATTGATAATTTGGAAAAAAAAAAAAAAATCCCGCCGATGTTGGTGGCCGGCTGGGTTCCACGGTTCCCGGTTCTGGGTTCCCGGGTTCCTGGTCAAAAGTTCTGGTCCGGTTTCGGTGGGTTCCGGGTTCCTGGGTTCCCAGGATCCCCGTCGATCTCCTTATCGATCTCTTTGTCGATCCCATTTCAAACCATCCGCTGATTGAGTTTTGTCTCTGGTGTAATGTTTCTTCTTCGGGAGCGTCGTAGCTAATACAAGCTAGTACAACTATTGCGCTCCGCGCGAGGCCTCCACGATTTCCCTTCTAGCTCTACGCTCCCCCTTCCCTGGGGCCTCGCGGGTCCGAACGACAGAGCGCTCCACGAACGAAAAGCAGCAGCCTCGCTCATCCGCCCGCCCCTTCCTGGCCACGGCGTCGGAGCTGAGCATCGTTTTACCGATCCCCATCCCCAGCGGCGTGGCCTGGGCCCCAGGCCGATTTACCCGCCTAGATGGGGATGTATGCCGTTCCCTTCGGGTTTCGAGGGGTGCATCCCCAACTGGGGTGGCAATTTGGTAGGGGTCCCGAGGGGATGAGGATGGGGATGAGGATGGGGATGGGGGTCGGTTAAACGATGCTGAGGAATGGCCAGGGAAGGTATCGGTCCGGCAGGCGGAGGGCACAGGCGAATGCCTTTAGGTCACCCCTCGCTCTCGGCGGACGTCAGCCTGATGCCTTCTCGCGCTGCCGTCACGTTACCCCCCCCCCCCGCAGACCGCAACGGTGTCGCTCCCCATCTGGTTCACCAAGTGCGCGGCACCTGCGATCGCGCGCCGCGGCGCAGGACGCCGCGGCTGCAGCGGCGGCCCGGGAGGCGGCGTGGTGAGCGAGGGACAGGCCAGCTGAGAAGGTCAGCAACAAGGGGCGAGGGAAGGGATGGAGGGAGAGAGAGAGAGAGGAAGCAGAACAAGACGGGAAACCCTCGGAGCCACGCTGCGCGAGACCACTGGAGAAGCAACTCTCAGAACCTGCTCACAGCATGCACCAGACAGAACCGCTGGATCCAGGTGGCCTTCAATCGGCGATCTGCTGAACCGCCCGGGGGGTGGGGAACATTCCGGCCTAGGATTAGGTCGGGCATGCCCTCCTGCAGGCGGACCTTGGACTTGTTTTTTGTGTTATCCAGACATGCTCAAAACTTAGCCAAACATGTTCAAGAAATCGTCCCCAGGCTACTTTTAGGCTATCGTTGACTGTTCCTCCTGTCGGGGGACACGCCCGACTTGAGCCTGGGATCGCCCAGGCCGTGCTGCCTCCTGCTCGAGGAGGGGGGGGGGCCCGGCACCGGCCTCCTGCCTGCAGCCGGGGCAGTCCAGCAGAACCTCCAGGATGGGGAGGTCCCGCAGCCTGCAACACAGGCTGGGTGCTGGACCCTCGAGGAGGGCGAAGGGAGGTCGAGGAGGAGGAGGAGGGAGGAGGAGGAGGAGGAAGAAGGAGGTCGAGGAGGAGGAGGAAGGAGGAGGAGGAGGAGGAGGAAGGAGGTCGAGGAGGGCGAAGAGAGGTCGAGGAGGAGGAGGAAGGAGGAGGAGGAGGAGGAGGAAGGAGGAGGAAGGAGGACGGAAGGAGGAGGAGGAAGGAGGAGGAGGAAGGAGGCGCCCCGCCGTGGACACCTCTGCTAGCTCTAGCTTCAGGTCGAGCGTGTCCTCCTACAGGAGGACTTGTACGAAAAATAAGAAGTAGTGAGCAGGTGCCCCAGAATGGCCAAAAATACTAAAGCAGTCGTCCCCTGACTGTTGTCTTACTATTTTTTGAATATTCCTCCTGTAGAGGGACAAGCTCGACTTTTGCTCGTCCCCGTGGCTTCGCTCGGGGCTGTGCTACAAACTCGCTGCCTATGTCCTGCGGAATCACGTGGGACAGAAAACGGCCCCGTCTTCACGCACACATGGCACCGCTGGCTGACCCCCCCCCCGAACCTGCAATCCAAAAAGCGGCGGCCCCCGTCAACCTTGCACGAGCTCACGGCACCCACTCCCCCAGGACACCGGGGAGCGGCAGCTCACACTTCCGAGACGGATCCGACAGACCAGACAAGCAACGTCCCGTACGAGTGGCCCTTTCGGTGCAGCCCATTGTTTGAGAATCGCCCCATTCGCCCTGAGATAAGATTCGATCGCCCCCTCCAGGGAACGACACTGAGCATCGGCGGCGAGAGTGGCACGACTTATCTCTGACCTGTTCTTGATACGTTTCCCAACCATCCTGTGATGTTGGGCCCTCGTTTGGAAGAGACAGCGCCCCGCATCTCCTCTCCTCCTTCCTCATCCTCTCCTTCCTCCTCCTCCTCCTCCTGCTCCTCCTCCTCCTCCTCGTCCTCCTCCTCCTCCTCCTCCTTCTCCTCCTCCTCCTCCTCCTCCTCCCGTCTCCCAACCCTGCCTCTGCTCTCCGCATGTCCACCATTTTGGGACACCCCTCCCGAGGATCGTGGCCCCGTGGGGACCTCCACCGAACGGCCCCAGTGACAGGGTCCGCATAGAGGACTCGGGCCAGTTCGGCACACCCCTCACGAGGATCGTGGCCCAGTAGGGACTTCCACCGAAGGCCCCAGCGGCAGGGTCCGCATGGCGGACCCGGTCCAGTTCGGCGAACACCTTACGAGGATCGGCTCACCTGCCTCGCGAGACTCGCAACTGCGTATGGTTGGGCCCTTCGTCAAGCTAATCTGTCGGTCGCGCACGGCACGGTTGAAATTTGTTGGCGAGCTTGGAGAAAATAGGATGAGGAGGAGGAATCCGTGAAACACTTGCAAACACTTGAAAACGAATAAGCGCGGCGCTCAAACGAGAGCCACATGTTCAAAACTACCCGCCCTCAATCCATGAAGCTCCTGTAACTGTCCAACTAAAACGATTGTGCGTGGTGCTGATGCGAGAACAAAAGTCCTAATGACTCTGCAGCCGTCAGGAATCAGGAATCAGGAAAAGGATGAGGTGGAGGCGGCGGCGGCAAAACGGTGACAGGCCGAAGGTCGAAAGAAATGGAGCTTGGATCACAATCCGACGACACTCTGGATTCTGCGACAGGAGGTGGGAGGAGGAGAAGGAGGAATGATAAGAAGCAGACTAGGCGTTGCGTGTGGTCTGGTCCAGACCTCCGATGCCAAGCTTGACAGCTCAGCTCACACTCGACCTCCAATGATCGAAACCGGCTTCGAGTCTCGAGGCGTCGGTCGCCACGCGCCGTGCAACCTGTCATACAACGTATACAGGAGGAGGAGGAGGAGGAGGAGGAGGAGCAGCAGGAGGAGGAGCAGCAGCAGGAGGAGGGGAAAGAGGAGGAGGAAGAGGAGGAGGAGGAGGAGGAGAAGAGGAGGAGGAGGAGGAGCAGCAGGAGGAGGAGAAGGAGGAGCAGCAGCAGGAGGAGGAGGGGGGAGGAGGAGGAGGGGGAGGAGAGAGGAGGAGAAAGAGGAGGAGGAAGAGGAGGAGGAGAGGAGGAAGAGGATGGATTTATCACTCCTCTGCGGGGGGCGGCGGGGGGCGACGCGGCGAGGAGCCCGAGCGGCGGCAGCAGAGGGCGGCAGAGCCCGGCGAGGGGCCCCGCCACTCGGGGAGGGGGCGGCACCGCCGAGGCCGGCGCTCTCGACGGAGGAGACCCCCCGGAAGCCGAAGTCGATCACCTGGGCTTGGGGTCTCGCCCTCCCCCTTCTCCATCCTCCTATTCCTCCCCCTCCTCCTCCTCCTCGTCCTCCTCCTCCCTCCTCCTCTCCTCCTCCTCTCCCTCCTCCCCCTCCTCCTCCTCCTCCTCCTCCCTCCCCCTCCCCCTCCTCCTCCTCCTCCTCCTCCTCCTCCTCCTCCTCCTCCTCCTCCTCCTCCCTCGTCTTCCCTCCTCCTCCTCCTCCTCCTCCTCCTCATTCTCCTCCTCCTCTTCCTCTTTACTCATCCCGTCCTGCGAAAGGACATCAAGGCGGGGGAGCGAGGCGGAGATGCGCACTCCGACCTCCCTCCGAGAAGCCGCGCGCGGCGGCCGGAGCGGGGCGGGCTCTCCGAAAATTTGTCGAGCGCGAGCTCGTCCATCAGCTTCTCGCAGCCGGTCGCCTTGGTGTCGCGGGAATCCAGGCATCAAGCGACCGAAGAAGTAAGAAATACTAGCCAGCCTCAAAGTCACCCCTATCCCTAATATTGGCAAGCCAACAGGCGGTGTCAGTCTGTGTGCCATGGGCAACGATCGGCATCGAGATGAGGCGATGCCAATCATAGGCATAGGGCTATGTTCCAGACTGGTAACAAACCAAGGCTTCGCCAGCATGGGCCCCGAATTATGGGTGATTGCACCCTGGAGGCGAGAGCTGTGCAGCATTGGCCGTGTGGTGATGGCTCTGCTGTGCAGGCTGTGTGGCGTGAGCCGAGTGGCGTGAGCCACGCTGCGTAAGCTCTACTGTGCGAGCTGTGCTGTGCAAGCTGTGCGACATGGCCTGTGGTGTCGGCTGTGCTGCGTGAGCCGTGCCGTGTGAGCTGCACGGCGTGAGGCCGTGCTGTGTGTGAGCTGTGTCGCCCACCCTGAGGCTCCGGGCGCCCACTGGGCGCCCCCCGGGCGGGCACCGGGCGCACCATCGGCGGGTCCGCCCAGAGCCCGGGGCGCCCACGAGACGCCCACGAGACGGCAGCGGGCGTGCACCATCGGGGATGGACAGACCCCCCTTTAGTAAAACGTGGTTTAGTGAAAACGACCTGAGGCCCAAACCTAGCGGGCGCAAGCCTGGAAAATAACGGCCACGGCGCCCTCTCAAGAACCGAAAAACGCACAATTCACTAATCGACGTGTCTCTGTTGGGGGTTCTGTCCACCCCCGACACCAGACGAAACCTCGACGGACGCGGACCCACCCAAAGCACGGGACGCCCACGAGGCGCCCAACGCGGAAAACCCTGGGCGGGCCCGTTCAATTACGTAGGTGAGCCAAGCAGGAACCCCCAAATGTAAACGCTGATCGGGGAAGTCGGCACGGAGATCCCAATGTGTGCACATCAGGATGTCATGTCCTAGCACATCCCGCCGTCAGTGGCCGAGTGTGGGGGAGCCCCAGCTTGCGACGCTGCAATGATCACGGGGCTCGGACGGGAGAGGAGTCGGAAGTGCAACACGAGCGCCTCCGAGCGTACAACCCGCTGGATTACAAAGTTGGGACGGCGGGGTTCGAGAGAGAGAGAGAGAGAGACGCTGTTGGCCACCCGTTAGGCCACGGGGCCCAGGACAATGTTAGATTTGATGCCGAATTGCGAGTTTCAGACGCATACCTCACCCCCTTTGATATTGTAAAGGCCAAATGGGGCCAGCGTCTGAAAGTGTCATTGAGCCCAGGACATCCTCGAAAAAGTTTCAGATCGCCTTCCAAGGCGATCTGAAATTCTCCCATGCCGTCTGAAAATGGCGATTTCGCCTAGGACTTCCTCACAAACAGTTTCAGATCGATGTTCATGCCGCCTGAATGTGGTCGTTTCGCTTAAGACGTCCTCAAACAGCACTTTCAGGTTGCCTTCCATGCCGCCAGGATACAAAGATTTCGTGTGCGATGATTTCCAAAACTGTGTGCTGCAGAACTCCACGCCCTGCGGAGCCGTTCCGTCATTCGGTTCACGGGCCTGCCTTAGAGTCATCTCGGGGTTCATCGATGGTGGAGGCTCGAGGGCCAGTCGACCGGCGAAACCCGCGGGGATCGCTCTCTCGCATAGTGCCGGTCACAACTTTTAATCCAGAGGGTGGTAGGATCTGGAGGAGCAGCGAAAACGGCAACAAACAAAAAGATGTTCGTCGGCGGCGAGGCAGCGAACTCCGCTCCGGCGAGAAGCTAGGAAAGGGGCACTCACTAGCGAATTGGCCGGCGGGCAAAGAGAGGGGGGGACGGCCGAGAGGAAGAAGGGACGCTCAGACGTCCAAGAGTTCGACGATGAGCCACAACTGACTAAACATGTGCCCCGCCGTTTTCGGCCTCCCGGGCCCTGGGTTCCGGGCTCCGAGGCCGTCGACATCAAGAAGCAGGACGACGGCAAGGCGAGGGGCGGAGAGGGCGGCGGGGGGACGATGGAAAGGGCGCGGGGGCGTAGGGGTAAGGGAGAGAGGGGAGGAGTGTGGAGGGAAGCGGAGGGGGGGGGGGGGGAATGGGGGAATGTGAAGGGAAAAGGAGGCGGAGGAGGGGGAGGAGGGCGAGGAGGGGGAGGAGGGGGAGGGGGGAGCCTGGAGGAGGGGGGGAATGGGGCAGGGGGGACGCGTTGCTTCAGTCAGGCGTTGTGTGAGTTGTCCCCCAACTTCTGTAAGGTACGGCAGAACCTTCTAGCTTGCAGGGCTGGAGCTAAACGTTGTTTTTCGTTTTGGTTTCGTTTCGTTGCTCGTTTCGCTCTAGCTGTTTTCCTGCATCTCCTTTTCACAACGAAAAGCAAAGCACACAGCCGAAGTCCAGCAAAACAGCGTTTGGGTCCAGCCCTGCTAGCCTGCCCAAAATGCCCGCAGGTGAGCGAAGGCGACCTCGCCTCGAAACGCACCCCTGGGCCTACTGAAAAAAGCGCGCCCAGCTGCAGAGGGGGAGACTGCGTACAGTCGGGGTGGATTGGGGAGGGCACGCGAGAGGACACAAGACTCTTCCGACGGCCACATTGCCACTGGGACGTAGAGGGCATGGGTCGCGAAACACAGGACACAAGGGTACCTTTGTTTGGGCAGGGTCGACCTACTAATCAAACTCGACTGTGCGAGGCAAAAAAAGGATAGGGTTAGGTCGGGCACGTCCCCCTGCAGGCGGATTGTGGACGAAATATTGAAAAATTAAAAACCAAGTTGAGAAAATCATCCCAAATAGTAAAGAAACGTGTCCGGACTATTGTTTGACTATTTTTGAATTTTCCTCCTGTAGAGGGACAGGCCCGACTTACGGATAGGGTCGAGTGTCGGCTCTGCTCGCGAGGCGGACCCCCCTCCCCGCGCCGAGAGAGAGATAAGCTCTCTCCGAGGGGTCGCTGCTCCCGGCGGGAGGCCGCAAGCTTGCCACGAGGCCGTCGCCCCCCCGTCCCCCAGAAAGAGAGAGAGAGAGAGATGTGTGTACTTGTATACATGTGTACATGCACACATTTACATACACATAAATGTATTATATATACATGTAAAAAGAAACATATACAGAACGAAAGCGAGCGAGAGAGAGAGAGAAGTACAGAGAGAGAGAGAGAGAGGAGCACGAGAGAACGAGAGAAAGACAGAAAGAGAGCGAAACGGAGAGAGAGAGAGAGAGAGAGAGAGAGAGAGAGAGTCACTGAGAGAAGCGGGCGGGGAGTGATGGAGGGGGAAGGGAGGGCGGGAGGAGAGGAAGCATGAGGGGGAGGACGAGGGGGCGGAGGAGGAGTGGCATCAGCGAGAAGCTGGAACGCGGAGGAGGATGAGGATGAGGATGAGGATGAGGAGGAGGAGGAGGAGGAGGATGAGGAGGCCGCCGACGACGAGACGTGGCTCGCGTGCGGCCGGAGATGGAGGGAGGGAGAAGCCATTGCGGAGCGATCCCGTGAAGGCCGGGTGCAGAGAGAGAAGGGGGGCAAACTGGGACGCAACGAATCCTTCAGCCACTCCCGCGCGATCTTCGTCATCTCGCGGCTCTGGGTGCACACCGTCGTCGGGTACCACACCTGTGCCCGCCCCCTCTGCGAGCTCCCGCACCCGCGCGCACGCCCGGCGCGAAAGGGGGCGGGGTCCTGACAGCCCTTCCAGGAGGGCTAAAGCATAGCACTGGACTTACAAAACCTATCCCAAAGCTATTAAACGTCATTATTTTAGCATGCTTCGTTCAGTTTTTTTAGGTCTTGAGGCCTCCAGTGCTAAGACATAGCTCTCTGGAAGGTCAGGGGGGGGAGGGAGATCGCGCTGGGCTCGGCAGCGCCAGCCTTGGGTCGGGCATGTCCCCCTACAGGGGGACTTTGGACGAAGAATTAAAGATACTCCCAAAAAATTCAAAAATATACCACAAATGCTTTGAAAAATTGCCCACAAACTATGATTTGATTATTTTTGAACTATTCCTCCTGTAGATGGACACGCCCGACTTAACCGCCAGCCCCTTCCTTCACCCTGCACGCCTCCTCCCTTCGCCCTGAGCACGCCCTCCCCCCCGTGTGCCCCAACTCACCGCAAGAGGCCCCTGCCCCTTTGCCCGAGAGCGAGGGCGAACCCGCGCTCACGCCATCTCTGAAATTATGTTGCCCCCATCGTACGTAAGGATCACATCACAGAAATAAATTCGAGCACTCGGGAAAGTGGAAAGTGTCGAAACAGTGTCGAAGCAATGTCGAAACAGTGTCGAACGAGTGTCTCCCAGGGCCCGACACGTGAAAACCACAGAGTTTCGGTACTTTCTTGGTGCTCGAAATTCTTTCCGGTGGTTCAAGCTAAAGTAGGTTGGAACATCCTAAACCCACCGTCCCATCCTTTTCCATCCTGCGCTGAAGCCCTCTATATCTACTAGCGCAGCATAGCCAGGTGTCGGGTGAGGACCTTCATCCCGAAAGAACAGCCTAATCGAAGAGGACCTTGACCCCTGGGAGTCAAGAGCTGGGAGGGCATGAAGGAGTCGGAGGGGCGGGGGGTATGACGAGGAGGAGGGAGGACGAGCGAAGATGGAGAGGGCAGGAACTTCGACTGAGGGCGACGACGGCGACGGAACGGAACGGCAGCAGGAAGAAAGGAGGAGGAGGAGAAGGCAGATAATAGGCAATGGGAGGAAGAGGAGGAGGAGGAGGAGGAAGAAAGGAGGAGGATGAGAAAGGAGGAAAGGAGGAGGAGGAGAAAGCAGATCATAGGCAATGGGATGGAGACGGGGGGGGGGAAGAAGGCGTGGAGGAGGGCGATGAGCCGGAGGGCGCCTGGGAGCGCAGGCGGAGACGAAGGACGGCAACGGGGAGAAGGAGGACGAGGCGGACGACCACGACAACCAGATCAGGACGAGGAGGGGGGACGGGAACGAGGCCCCCTGTGGCCGCAAATGTGGCGTGACATTTTAAGTTTCGGACGAGGACGAGGACGATCAAGACGAGGACGGGGGACGGGACGGGAAAGACGAGGACGGGGGACAGGGGACGAGGACGTGGCACGACAACCAGATCAAGACGGGGACGGGGGACGGGAAAGAGGCCCCCTGTGGCCGCAAGTGTGGCGTGACCTTTGAAAATTCGAAGCGGGCATGCCGCCGCTCGCCCCGAACACGGCGCGCAGCTCGAGCAGGACACACGCCGCCACGGGAGCAGGGCTTTGAATGAGGAGAGACTGTCAGACTACGGCCAGCGCTGCGGCGAGAGCGCCGTACCATTCATTCGGCGGGGGCTCGCTGAGAGCATTACTTCATGTGGTATACGCTGCAGCGAAAACACCAACGTTGTTCATACATGGGTGCGTCGAGAGCGTCGTCGTCTCCCCGGGCGGAGGATCGGCACAAAAAATCGGAGGCGAATACCTCAAAGCGGAAAAGGGTACTGTCACCGAGGCAGAGGCACGGCCAGCGCTACGGCGAGAGCGACGTACGGGTTGGACGGAGGCGCTCTTGGGACCGCTGCGTGGGAGGAGCGACAATCTGCATAAGCAAAACATTTCGGAGGTCCGCGTTTCTCGGGGGGGGGAGGCGAAAGGGTAGGATAGCAAAGGGCTCTGTGTAACACGCCCGCCTCCCACTGGGGCCTCCTGGCGCCGGGAGGCGCCCATGTATCGAGGAACGGCGGCGGGGCGGAAACCAACTGCGTGCAGCAGATATCGTAACCCTCCCTTTCCCTATCGTACCCTCTCGTCCGCCCCGAACTTCTCTGGAGACCACCGGCTGTGACAAGAGCTGCAGCGGGAACACGACCTTTCAAGAAGGCGATTGATCTGCGCCCGAGAGGGGTCGGTGGGAGGGTGGAGGCCTCCTAGATGGGGTCCGGGTGGATGGGGTCGGAGGCTCGCGCCGCATCGCCGATGCATCGGCCATCGGCCATGCATCTGCGACGTTGGCGATGCATCGGCGACGTCGGCGTGGAAAAAACGGGCTCGACACTGAGCCGCATCGTCGATGCATCAGCGATGCGGCGCGATCCTCCGACCCCATCTACTCTGACCCCATCTGGGAGGCCTAGAGTGCGTCGCGCGCGCGCGCACCTGCACCAGCAGCGTCTCCAGGTAGTTCGTGAGCCAGAAGCACTGCGGGTCCAGGTTCTCCAGCGTGAACAGCACCTCGGACGCGGGAGGGGGGGCGAGAGACGAGCAAGATTGAGACGCAGAAGGGCATCCGCCACCGTGCCCTCTGAGCACGGAGTGGGCGTGCCCTCGGGTCCTCTCACTACCCCTCCACGCCTCAGTCCTCACTCCTCAGCCCCAATCTCCAGAAGCTTCTCGCGGTTCCCCTGGGCTCCGGGAAGTGGTGCCGCATAACTTGTCTGGGGCCAAGAGGTCCCCGAGACGGGCCAAGACGGCCCCAAGCAGCCTTCAAGACGGCCCCGAGACACCCAAAGATCGGCCCAAGGCCTCAAGAGACAAGAATCATAGATTTTCCTTTCGTGAGCGGGAACGCCTTTTCGGCTTTCCGACGCTCCAAGACGACCCAAGAGGCCCCCAAGACCACCGTTAAACTGCTCAAGAGGCCTCCAAGACTGCCTAAGAGCGCCCCAAGACGGCCCAAGAGGCACCTAAGACGGCCCCAAGAGGGCGGCAAAAGGGGCCCAAGAGAGGGAACACGAACCGAAAATCCGAGCCTTCCGCCCCAGGAGGCCCCCAGAAGGACCCCAGAAGGCCCCCAGAGGCGCCCAGGAGGCCCCAAGAGGCCTCCAAGAGGCCCTCAAGAGGCACCAAGAGGCCCTCAAGAGGCCCTCAAGAGGCCCTCAAGAGGCCCCAAGAGGCTCCGAAACGGCCCCCATTAAGCCTCAAAACTGCCTCCAAGAAGCCCTCGAGAGACCTCCCTCGAGATCCCAATGAACATTCAATAGGCTTCATACCCACAATCCAGGCACGGTGGCGGGATGGGCCCAAGGCCATTCGATACTAGTGCTACGCGCCATGGAGGCGCACGTCCGAACCACGCATATAGCACACACGTCTTACCCGCCACAAAAGATGGTCGGAAGGGGCGTTCTAGAACCTGGGCCGGCACGGGATAGGAAAGAGCGCTGCAGAAACGCGCCCGAGAGGGCTCATGGCACTGCTCGCTTTTGGGAGCCTTGGTGTTCAGAGCTTTCTACGTCACCGATTGCTCCTTTATTTTGTGTCTCTGGGCCGTCCTGGGAGCCTTTAGGGGCCCTTTTGGACCGCCTCGGGGCCCTCTTGGGCCGTCTCCGTTCGAGCCGTCTAGGGGCGTCTTGGAGGCCTTTGGCTGTCTTGGGGCTTTCTTGGGGGCCCCTTTGGGCCCTCTTGGGAGCCTCTGGGGGCTCTCTTGGGAATTTCTTGGAGCCGCCTTTGGGCCCTCTTGGTCCGTTTTGGGATCCTCTTGGGCCGTCTGGGGGGCCCTCTTGGACCGTTTTCGGCCTCTGTTGGTGGGACTATTTGCGGCCCCTTGGGGCTATTTGCGGCCCCTGGGCGGTCATGGGACTATTTGCGGCCCCTTGGGACTATTTGCGGCCCTTTGGGCGGTCTTGGGCCGTCTTGGGACTATTTGCGGCCCCTTGGGCGTTTTTTTTTTTTGATGCTTGATATCGCAAGCTTGCGAAACTCACTTGAAGATTTACTGTTCTAGAGTACCATTCAGTCTTGAACTTCATATCTAGACTCCTACATGTATGATTTCTTTCCGAAGCACCCCACCTGTCATCCCTGACATGCTCCGCCCACCGACTGCAACGGAGACGGCCGAACGCAATTCCGCGGAGTCGAGGCACGCACAAGCTTGACTCTTGACATCGATTCAAACAAGCAGCAGCACGCCGCGCTTGACTCGCGCGTGAAGCGCCGGCAAAAAAATCTGGCACGCAACCCGGCGCCCCCGCTGGCTGGCCGACCATTGCCTACTCGACCGACCGACTGCTCCCGCTTCTAAGGTCACCACCCCAGCTGCTCACCCTCGACTCCTCCGTTCACCATCGGCAAACGGCTGAACGCGTGGTCACGGAAAAACAACAAAAGCGCGCACACGCTTGCCATCGATTCAAACAAGCGGCAACACGCCACAAGTGACGACCATGTGCACTATGTGGACGGCCGGGCAGCACATCGGAAGCGCGAGAACTAAGTGGAAGGGCATATCATCGCAAGCTGTAGTGCGTCATCCGCCGACCCACACCAATTATGGCCAGAGCAGACACCATGAGAGCTTATCGAAGAAGTTGGAACGACCAGGCATCTTTCCGAAGCACCCCCCCTGCTACCCCTGACAAGCACCGCCCACCGATTGCAACGGAGGCGGCCGAACGCAATTCCGCGGAGTCGAGGCACGCACACGCTTGACTCTTGACATCGATTCAAACAAGCAGCAGCACGCCGCGCTTGACTCGCGCGTGAAGCGCCGGCAAAAACATCTGGCACGCAACCCGGCGCCCCCGCTGGCTGGCCGACCATGACCTACTCGACCGACCGACTGCTCCCGCTTCTAAGGTCACCACCCCAACTGCTCACCCTCGACTCCTCCGTTCACCATCGGCAAACGGCTGAACGCGTGGTCACGGAAAAACAACAAAAGCGCGCACACGCTTGCCATCGATTCAAACAAGCGGCAACACGCCACAAGTGACGACCATGTGCACTATGTGGACGGCCGGGCAGCACATCGGAAGCGCGAGAACTAAGTGGAAGGGCATATCATCGCAAGCTGTAATGCGTCATCCGCCGACCCACACCAATTATGGCCAGAGCAGACAGGCAAGCGTGGGTTGAAGAGGAAGACGAGGGGGATGGATAGGACGCAAGGAGGAAGGTGGAGAAAGAAGAGAGATGCACTTGCATCAGAAAGCGCACATGCTCACGCGAAGCCTGCCACTGCGATTGAAGCTCCTGGGAGGCGCGGCAAGACGATCTGCGCGTCCTTCTTCAGAGGCATGCGCTTGACGCACGCCTCTGGAGGAGCGCTTGCATCTTCGTGGTCGTCCTCACCCAGCAGACCTCCGATAGCAAATCCCGATTGCCCTAAGCGCTTCACATAGACATTCAAACCCGCCATCGCTCTTGCGCGATTTGGGGGTGTTGGAACGCAGGGGCTGTCTGAAAGGATTCTGCAAGTCGTCTAAAAGATCCCTGACATGCTCCGCCCATCGATTGCAACGGAGACGGCCGAACGCAATTCCGCGGAGTCGAGGCACGCACACGCTTGACTCTTGACATCGATTCAAACAAGCAGCAGCACGCCGCGCCTGACTCGCGCGTGAAGCGCCGGCAAAAAAATCTGGCACGCAACCCGGCGCCCCCGCTGGCTGGCCGACCCTTGCCTACTCGACCGACCGACTGCTCCCGCTTCTTATGTCACTACCCCTGCTGCTCACCCTCGACTCCTCCGTTCACCATCGGCAAACGGCTGAACGCGTGGTCACGGAAAAACAACAAAAGCGCGCACACGCTTGCCATCGATTCAAACAAGCGGCAACACGCCACAAGTGACGACCATGTGCACTATGTGGACGGCCGGGCAGCACATCGGAAGCGCGAGAACTAAGTGGAAGGGCATATCATCGCAAGCTGTAGTGCGTCATCCGCCGACCCACACCAATTATGGCCAGAGCAGACACCATGAGAGCTTATCAAAGAAGTTGGAACGACCAGGCATCTTTCCGAAGCACCCCCCCTGCTACCCCTGACAAGCACCGCCCACCGATTGCAACGGAGGCGGCCGAACGCAATTCCGCGGAGTCGAGGCACGCACACGCTTGACTCTTGACATCGATTCAAACAAGCAGCAACACGCCGCGCCTGACTCGCGCGTGAAGCGCCGGCAAAAAGGCGCCCCCGCTGGCTGGCCGACCCTTACCTACTCGACCGACCGACTGCTCCCGCTTCTTATGTCACTACCCCCTACTGCTCACCCTCGACTCCTCCGTTCACCATCGGCAAACGGCTGAACGCGTGGTCACGGAAAAACAACAAAAGCGCGCACACGCTTGCCATCGATTCAAACAAGCGGCAACACGCCACAAGTGACGACCATGTGCACTATGTGGACGGCCGGGCAGCACATCGGAAGCGCGAGAACTAAGTGGAAGGGCATATCATCGCAAGCTGTAGTGCGTCATATGATGGTATGAAGGAAGAGGGTCTGCAAGAGAAGAGGTCGACTCAACTGGCGATCGCCAACGAAGCCGGCTCAGCCCCCACGCTGGTCTGGCTCACCTTTCGCAGGGAAATTTCCATATGGCATTCTGCTGGGATCCTCGCTGCATCTGTGTGATCATCTTCACCCAGTAGCCCTCCGACGGCAAAGCCAGCATGCCCAAGATGCTTGATGAAGAGGTTCAAGTACTTGATTCCCTTCTCCGTGCGCCCGTGGACGACTTTGAGCTCCAGCGGCCCGAACTTGGTCCATTTCGGCAACTCGTGGCTCTGAACGCCTTGGGCATCGAAGGTGAAACCGCCAGCCTGCAGCTTGTCCGCCCATACCCCTGTGATGTTCGCAGTCTGGAAGTACATGTCGGCACAATGTCCACCCAGGCGTCGCGCGTCTGCTTGTACCGCAAGCAACGCATCCTCGACGCGCTTCTCACGTGGGATGTTGATCAGTGTAACCGTACCCGACGTCATCAGGTCGAAACGCTCACCGTGGATATTCTGCAGGTGCGGATCGCCGGTGGCCGTCGCGGGCGTCGGTGCCGCGGTCGGTGCCGGAGTGATGCTGCACGGCGCAATGGCAGCACTGACAAACGAATTTCTGTTCGTTGTGGTTCCATCGCCCAATTGGCCAAGGATATTCTGTCCCGCCGCATGCACAGATCCGTCGTTCTTCAGGATCACCGTGTGGTGAAGACCTGCCGCAACCGCAGTCACCCCACTGGAAACCACTTGCGCAAACGATGTTCGTTTACTGTTGGATCCATCGCCCAATTGGCCATAGTTATTCAGTCCCACCGTGTGCACAGATCCGTCGTTCTTCAGGATCACCGTGTGGTGAAGACCTCCCGCAACCGCAGTCACCCCACTGGAAACCACTTGCACAAACGAATTTCTGTGAGTTGTGGTTCCATCGCCCAAATGGCCATGAAAATTGGCACCCGCCGAGTGCACAGACCCGTCGTTCTTCAGGATCATCGTGTTGTAGTTACTTGCCGCAACCGCAGTCACCCCACTGGAAACCACTTGCACAAACGATGTTCGTATAGTGTTGGATCCATCGCCCAATTGGCCATAATTATTGAAACCCGACGTGTGCACAGATCCGTCGTTCTTCAGGATCACAGTGTGTACATTAGCTGCCGCAACCGCAATCACCCCACTGGAAACCGCTTGCACAAACAGATGTCTCTCAGTTGTGGTTCCATCGCCCAATTGACCCTCATCACCCCTACCCACCGTGTGCACAGATCCGTCGTTCTTCAGGATCACCGTGTGGAACCTGCCTGCCGCAGCAGCAGTCACCCCACTGGAAACCACTTGCAAAAACATATTTGACTCAATTGTGGTTCCATCGCCCAATTGGCCATACTGATTCCGTCCGACCGTGTGCACAGACCCGTCGTTCTTCACGATCACAGTGTGTTGATTACCTGCCGCAGCCGCAGTCACCCCACTGGAAACCACTTGCACAAACGATGTTCGTCTAGTGGTGGATCCATCGCCCAATTCGCCACCGTCATTCCCACCCACCGTGTGCACAGATCCGTCGTCCTGCACGACAACCGTCATCCATTGTCCTGCTGCAAGTATACGTGGCCCGCACGAGGCCGTTGTCTGCTGCGAGGTGTTGCTCTTGTCCGCCGCCGTTCCAAACTGCATCATGCTGGAATCGGCGGGGGCCGCACCCAGGGCAGCGGCCCCGCGCGCCCCGACAAGACTGGCAATCAGCAAAAGACGGGCCATCTGCGAGACAGGTGATCCGACCAGAAGTTGTAGGATGTACGCAGGGTGTGCGGGTATGCTTCAGCTTGCGAAGGCCCAGCTGGAGCCAAACAGTCTTGAGCCAAAATGGCTACGGAGCGGCCCCTTGGGCGGTCTTGGGCCCGAAAAGGCGAGAACCGCAATTATCCTGGCGAAGGACCCAGCCGATGCAGTTGTGGGTACCGCAATTGTGAGTATCTTCTTCGGTGAAGCTCCATATGGGGCCTGCTCTGGGTGGGGGGGAACGCATGCGAGCGGTAGCACTGGGGCCGTCGGTGGAGCTCCCTATGGGGCCACGAAGAGCTGTTGGGTGGGTGAAAATATGCCAAATTGCGTGTATGGGACGCATGCGGACGGTCCCACTGGGGGTGAAACTGCCAAATTGGGCTTCCGGGACGCATGCGGACGGTCCCACACTGGGGGTTTCGGTCGAGCTCCCTATGGGGCCACGAAGCGCTGTACTGGGTGGGTGAAAATGCCAAATTGGGTTTCCAGGACGCATGTGGACGGTCCCACTGGGGGCTTCGGTGGAGCTCCACGAAACGCCATACTGGGTGGGTGAGAATGCCAAATTGGGTGTGCGGGGCGCATGCGGACGGTCCCACTGGGGGCTTCGGTGGAGCCTCCTATGGGGCCACGAACCGCTGTACTGGGTAGGTGGAGACTGCCAAATTGGGTGTGTGGGACGCATGTGGGCGGTCCCTTTGGGGCATCCGATGGAGCTCCCCATGGGGCCACGAAACGCTGTACTGGGTGTGGCGGACGCATGTGGCCACCCCCGCTGGGGCCTTGGGTAGGGCTCCCTGTGGGGCCACCAAACGCTGCACTGGGTGTGGCGGACGCATGTGGCCACCCCCACTGGAGCCTTACGTGGAGCTCCCTGTGGTGCCATGGAACGCTGTACTGGGTGTGGCGGACGCATGTGGTACCCCCACTGGGGCCTTACGTGGAGCTCCCTGTGGGGCCACGGAACGGTGTGCTGGGTGTGGCGGACGCATGTGGTACCCCCACTGGGGCCTTACGTGGAGCTCCCTATGGGGCCACGAAGCGCTGTGCTGGGTGTGGCGGACGCATGTGGTACCCCCACGGGGGGGTGGGGGGGGCACGGGAGGAGGAGACGCGGGGACCTCTTCTTCAAAACGAAGACCCAACACCACAGGATGGTTGGGAACAAACACTCAAAAACCAAAACATAAATCTATGTGTTTGGCCTCCCGAGGCCCTCTCGGGGCCCTCTCGAGGGCCTCTGGAGCCGTTTGGAGACGATCTGAGGCCATCTTGGAACGCTCTTGGGCTCTCATCGAGCGCTTTTCGGCTGTCTTGGAGCCCTCTTGAACTCCTCTTGGGGGTTTCTTGGGCCGTCTTGGGAGTATCTTGGGCCGTCTTGGATGCTTCTTGGGCCATCTTGGGGGGGGGGGGCGTGTTACCCGGAGTTCCCACCCTACGCCCCTTCTCTGGACCCCTCCATAGGAGACTTCGCCCCACCAAAACGACATCACTCGTACCTCGATCGTTCCGTCACCTGGAACGAGCGCTTCAGGAACTTGCCCGGGTGGGCTTACGGCCCCGTTCGCCCTTGGTTAGTATCTTTCTCAGAAAACCGTTCGCTCTTCGGAGCCTCGGTGTGAAAATCGTTTTCACGTCATCGATCGCTCTTAGCAACCTTGGCGTCAAGAGTTGCTTGCGCAACCGTTCGCTCGTAGGAGTCTTGATGTGAAGAGTTGTTTACGTCACCGTGAGAAAAGAACTGCTCACGTCACTGTTCACTCTTGGGAGCCTTGGCGTTAAGATCTGTGTACGTCAACGTTCAACTTTGGGAGCCTTGGCATTCAGAGCTTTCTGCGCCACTGCTCGCTCCTTGGGGCCTTCGTGGTTCAAAGCTGTTTACGTCGTCGACTCGAATAGGAAGGGCTTGCCAGTCACCCAGTGCCCTTAGGAGCCTTGGCATCCAAGCTGCGTCCGTCATTGGGCCGTCCGAGAGGGGTCCTCTGGGGGCGCTGTTGGCTGCCTTGGGGCCCTCGTGGGCCATCTTGGGCCCCCCTTTGACAATCTTGCTTGGGGGGCTGCGGCCGGGCTTGGGGCGATCACGGGGCCATCTTCAGAACTTTAGAGCTCCCTGTGGCCCCCTCCGGGGCTCTCCTGGGAGCCTCCCGGGGCTCTGTGGAGTCCTCCGTGGGCCGTGCTGATGCTCTCTTGGGCCGTCCTGAGGCCCTCGTGGGCCGCTTTGATGCACTCCTGGAGAGCCTCCTGGGACGATCTCGGAAACCCCAGGGGCCGTCGTTGGCCGTGCTCGGCCCGAACAGGTGAGCACCCCCGAAAGACATTCCAGCACCGACGGGAAACTTCGGCGGTGGGCAGACCTCCCTTTAGTAAACCTGCCTTTAGCGAAAGCGGCCCAGGACCAAACCGACGGACCTGGACCCGCAACAATGACGGCCGCGACGCCCCCTCGCGAACCGAAAACGGCCAATTCGCTAATCGACGTGTCAGGGTAGGAGGCCGATCAACCTCCGACATTCCAACACCGACGGGACACGATGGACGTGTGTGACTCCTTTTCGGGCTTCCTGGGCAACTCCCGTGAGTACCCTTCGGGGCCTGCCAAGCAGCTCCCGAGAGCACCCGTCGGGCCCCCCGGGCAGCTCCCGGGCGGGTGCATTTCGGACATCGCTGGCGGCGGCCCAGGCGCGCTGGCGTGCGAATGTTCCTGGGGACAGTCATCGGCCTGACCGAAGGAACGATCAATAAGAAACGAACCCCCTTTTTTCCAAGGCGTAACAAACAAGGAACGATAAATCAGAACCAAAGCACAAGGAGCGATAAATAACGCATGCAGCCCGAAGGAACGACCGAGCCCCTTTGGAGAAGTAAGTGTTCCTTATTCAAGCCGCTCGCTGTACCTTTCGGACACCCCTGGCGGCGGCCCAGGCGCGCTGGCGCACGAATGCTCCTGGGCAGCTCCTCTTGGAGGGCGAGGAGAAGCGGGCAGAGGGCGAGCCTGGAGGGGCGCACGCCCCAAGTCGGGCCTGTCCCTCTCCAGGGCGGAATAAACAACCATAGTCAAAAAATAGTCTGGGGACGATGGTTTGATCATTTTCGAAAATGTTTGGGGCATGTTTGGGGTATGTTTGATTTCTCGTCCAAAATCCGCCTGTAGGGGGACACGCCCGACCTAACGCAGGCCGTCTTCCCCACACGCCCATCGTGCATCACGGGCCGCTCCCGCGAGCACCCTTCGGGCCTCTCAGGCAGTTCCTGGCCGATTTGTTGTGGGTTTTTTCAGGCAGCCCTGGAGTCCTCTTGGGGGCCTCTTGGGGCGTCTTTGTATGGTCCCCCCTGCTGTGTGCGGGTGTCTCCCACTGTCACCGCACGCCTCTGCAAAGCTACGCGCCTCGCAGCACAGAAGTACAACGTGCAGCAGGGAAATCTACTACGCGAGCGGAAACGGTGCCCCCTGCTATTTGCGGGTGCATGCCGCTCTGCCCTCACAGCTCGTGCAACGACGTTACGCGCTAACTCGTCACAACCAATGGCGATGACGAAACGGCAGCGGATGCACAATGCCATGAGGAGAAGTGAGGACACAACTGTCAGAATTGTGGTGATGCCAGACCTGGCATCCTTTCTCTACTTTGTTATGCTACGACTACTCGCCTGCATGCACATACGTATCTGCAACATTGCAGAGAGCGTCCACAACCGACGGCATCGCCTCAGCCCATACTTGTCGAAAGGCCAGAAGCGATTACCAAAGGCGCCGGTTTCCCAACTGATGGGGATCGGACTCCGCGACATACCTACTCAATAATTCTCGCGGGCTGGAACCCTGCGGGTTGGATCCCAGCACTAGAGCGCCTCCGCAGCCACGCCTACATCGCCTGGGTCCAGGCATGTGCAAGAACGAAGAGGAATGACGAAAAGCGCCGGCTAAGGCGCCGGCTTCCCGACTGATAAGAAGGGAATTCCACGATAATTGGAAACATATTCATCCTGTCATTGTTGCGAGAGAGTAGGAGAAGGATTCTGCGCATCAGCGATGTTAACCAATATCTCCCAACATCACGCACGAATGGCACATGCGCTGGTGTCACAAGACCGTAACAGTGACACGAGAAACTTTTGAACGGCTGCATTAAAGTTCCTCTCTTGTCAGCGTAGGCTTCTGCACTACTAGCATTTGAGCGGCGTTGTCAGGGATTGCCACTTGACCATCACGCTGCCACCCACGGTGTTCGACCTCTCTGGCGACGATGTCATAAAATCGGGATCTGGCATTTGCATCGCCACTTTCGACAAGCTGATTCAACATTGTACCGGCCAGAATAGTCAAACTATCGGCAACGTCTCTGGAAGACCCAAGCTGAAACGCATATTCCACAATTTCATCAGCGCTGATGTCAAAAGCTGCAGCTTTAGCAAGGTCGTTGACAGCGTTGGCATAGCTCAACGCCATAGGGTTTATGTCAAACTCAGGCATCTGCTTATTGGCGACTTCATCTATTACATCTCGAGCAAATGTATAAAACATCAAGTTTTTCCATACAGACGTAACAGCAATACCACCTGGCTTCAGCACACGATGAATCTCCCGAAGGCTTTTTGCTTTATCTGGTATGAACATCAACCCGAAACTCATAGTCACTGCATCGAACGTATTGTCTTGCCATTGGTTCAAGTCATCGCCTGATGTCAATGCAAAGGTCATGTTTGTTGCTACGTTCGCTGCTGCAGCTCGACTCTTAGCCTTCTCATTCATCTGCGCTTGGAAATCTGTACACACGATCTGAAAGTTGGAGTCCATAGCAGCGAGCGTAACAGATGGCTCTCCAGGACCAGAGGCAAGATCTAACACTTTGCCACCGTTTGGCAACCTAGTTGCTACAGCCTTCGACATCCTATCAAACATTGGTCGGCTGTTCATGAAGAGCCTGGCATATATGGCTGGGTCGATTTGATCTGCAGCCGCTGCCACGACCACAAGAAACACCTGCCAACACAAAACAGCCATGCCTACCGCTGTAGGACTGGACTGCTTGCTGTCACTCTCTGTCGAAAGTCTTGGAGCCGAGTCGATGACTTGAGCCAGACTGGCC